GCAGCTCCGGCAAGTTGCCCGAAGAAGACGGCCGGATCTTTGCTCTGGCATCTAGGGTTTCATTTCTTGCGTGGTGAAGGTTTGACCCTCTAACCATATCCACGTGTGTGCTAGGTCAGTGCCACCTCAATTAATGAGTGCTGGCGTGGCACTTTTTTTTTTGTTTTTCTTTTCTTTTCTGATTTTGGTAATGGGCTGGACTTGGCTTGTTTTGCTATCCCCACACCCTCCCTTAGGACCATCAGCATGCCTCAACAGAACCCAGTTGTTCTGTTTTTCGCTACTACACCCTCATCCTTTTGTTTTCTTCTTTTTATTTTCTTTTCCTTTCCATTTTGATTTATTTTTAATAATTCCAAATGTCATAAAAATTTATAAAAATATCTTTTGGACATTTTAATGTCTCTAGTTTTTTTTTCCACATTTTTATTTTATTTTTAAAAATTATTTTTCTAGTTTATTTTGATTTATTTTTTAAATGGTGTTTCCACTTTTGTCCTTAGATTAGGGTTTAGGTTTTGATGCCTTGCACATCTTTCCTTGAGCCAATATTTTTCTAAATTTTGAAACATAATGTGGTGATGTTTGGGTGCTTTTGATGAGCTTTGATGATTTTGTTTGGTATATTTTTTATTTGATTATTTGTGACCCTTGATTTATGCTCGACTTGTGAGGTTCCCTAACTTGTTGGTTGATTTTGTGTGTGCTCTTGTGCCTTTCTTTTGACAACCTTTTGCACACACACATTTGAGTTTATGAACATGAGTTTGAACTTTTGTTTTGAATTTATTTAATTGTTTTCCTATTTTTAAATTCCATGTCAACTTGATGATGTTTTGACCATGATATTATGCATACTTTAACCTAGTTTTTCTAGCATTGTTCTTAAACGAACCCATTTGATGATTGTTGATCTTGAATGATTTTAAGAGTCATGTTTGTGCTTCTTACTTCATTTGTTCTGATTCCATTTGTTCATTCCTTTGTCTCAATTCATTTGCATTTTGTGTTTGCCTCCCTCCATGAATGGTTTTGAGAATACATGCTTGATTCCTTGCATTTATCTTGAGTTTGATTCTTGATTGAGTTGTCTTGTACATCATAATGTTGCTTATAAGTTGAAATACTTGGTTTTTCTACTGCCCCATCTTGGTTGTATGCTTTGACTTTAATGTTTGGTTCATTTTGGACTTTGTTTTGTGTTAACAAGTAGTTGACAAGTGTGACTAATGTTTTGATGCTTGTATGATGTTCTTGTGCTCCTTTCCACATCTTTAAGGAATTTTGAATGTATGATGATGTAGCTACTGACCTTCTTTGTTATCATCTCATTTAGTCCCTTTTGTTTGGTTTTCTTGACTTTTGATGTCTGATTAGGGTTTCATACCCTTATATGCTTGTGCATTCTTGGTTTACATATGTACTTGACATGATGCATACTTGATCCATGATATGATGCATTGCTTTATAAGTTGATTGGATGTTATATTACTTGCCTCACATATTGACATTTAATCATGATCTTTAGCTTTGGCAGTTGATGTCCATCATTTACATTCCTCTGATATTGTGATTGCATATGTTGTAAGTCCAAGGGAAGGACTTTTGGTTGAATTTATAGTCATATGCTTTGTATTTTTGTTTATTTTCATATTTTACCTCTTTGCTTGATCTCTGTTTCCGCTTAGTTTGATTACCTTAGGATGTATATACTTAGTTTGTTTATCCTTTTAGGTAGATACCATTAGGATCCTTCAACTTTAGATAACCTACAATTAGGTTTCGCATCTCCTATGAAAGAATTAGATATGAGTCATCCCTAGTTGAGATGTAATTATCCTACCCCATGACATAATTAAGAAAGATGTTGATTTCTTTTCCACTTGAGAGAGGTATATGGCATACTCGTTGATTATATATCCGAGTTGAAGCCCTTCTCTTAATGTGAAGCAAATATCCATCTTCCACATGTTTGTGGTGGTTTAGTTGAGTATTCTCCTTAAGATGACAACTTGTCTTTTCTCCTAAAAGCAATCAAAAAACTTTATTTACCTTTAGTAAGATGAATTATGAATGCTCTAATTCCATCCTAGTCAGGATACGTAGGCACGAGATGCGTTGTCTTAGCGAGCATACTTAGGAGTAGCACCTTAGGTCTTCCTTTTCCTTTTCACTCTTAGAAAACAGATAACAAATAACACAGTAAGACAAGAGGTTCCTATAGAGCACTACAAATACTTAGGATGCTAGCACCTTCCCTAGGTATAACCAACCACCGAACCTTAGATTCTCTTTATTGCATTTCATATTTATGGGTTATTCATTCTTTTTCCATTCCCTTGGATAAATTAAAGATCGGTGGTGAATTAAGATTGGTGAAGTCTAGCTAACTCAATAGTTATGGTCTCTAATTCTTACTGCGACACTCGTTCTATCAAGATTTTCAGAATTATGCATACTCAATTGTCTTCCAAAATTCACTTGTAACTCATATCAAATTGTTGTAACTTAATTCCAGGATTATTGGATCTAGGTTGTTGAAGAGGAAGTACGTTTTTTCTATGAATTTGTAAAATCACAAGGTGGGGTTCCTTTGTGATTGATAGATAGAAAGGTTAAGAGAATCGAGGTGTTTCTGGTGTAAAGATTTCTATCATAGTAAAATGTATCACAGGGTGTGAGGGGACTGGAGTATCCTTGATTGGAAAGGGGAACCAAGATATATCACTATGTAATTTTACTTTCCATACTTTATTTTTATGCACTTACATTTTAAGTCATCACAATCAAGAAAAATAAAGAACGAACGGACTATCGTCTAAAAACTAGAGAAATTTCTAAAAACTTAATTCACCCCCTTTTAGGTTAAACTTTAAACTTACATTTGGAATTAGAGCAGGTTGTAGGTAACTTGTTCCTAAAGATCTAGAAATGGCTTCTGCAAATCTGATTTTTAGAGACGGTGGTAGCAACAAGAAACCTCCATTTTTTATGGTGAATCCTTTGATTTTTGTAAAATACGTATGTCAACCTTTTCCTAGAGGGTCGTCAGTCTAGTACAATGAGAAGCGATAGTCTCCATCTTCCCCGAAAGCATGGAAATGTTATCTCTCTCCACCTTTACAAGTCTACTCTTCTAGCTCTTAAAGTTATTCGAGTGAAGGGTGAAGATGACCCTCCTCGACAAGGCGCCCAGGGTCACCCAGCCCCTTCTAAAATTATTTTGGTGACATTAAACAAAAATAAAACGTATATAGTAGGCGTGACCTCTAGGAGACCAAATATTTTAAACTCCCATATGAAAGTCTACCCATTAGGTGATATTTGAGAAGGGGCAACATTCCTGGTTGTAAGGACCTCAGACTCACAGAGGATAAATGAAATCAATACCCCTAATTCATTAATGATAGGGAGGTATAGGTAGAAGAACTCGTTTGATGAGAGGCAACCATGTTAACTCATTCTTCTTTAGATCATGACTATATGATTATATTCACCTCGTTGCCTGAACCTAGAAGGTTTATGCCCTTACGATAGGAATCCATTTTTTCCTGGGTTGTGTAGATAGTCTCCTAGTCTTCAACTCCTAAGCGTTTTGATGAGATAAACACCATCAATGGTCCTGATTATCCTAGGAAAGAATAGGGGAAAATGGGTCATTATCACTGCTAGAATTGGAACTACTTTCATATCTTCCAAATATCCCTATTTTTAAAAGTTTGAAATCAACTATCCCATTGAGTCACCTAGCATTTTTCATACAATACCTTCACTTATCCATACACTCCACATTAATAGAGGGATCAACTACAATAACACTCTCGGCTAAATCCATAATAATTGTCATTATTAGAGAAATAAATGGTGATGGGAGAGGGAGAGATTCAATACATGTACTTGGGAAGATGAGAGATAAAGTCAAACTTGTAGAACCTAAGGAAAATTTTGCTCTATGGGATATAGAAAGCGTTGAGTTAACATGAAGGAGAAATTTTCTCGAACCCTATTATTATATAGGCAAATGCCTAGATTGTATAGTCCATCATTGTCTTAGCGTAGGTAGGTGCCAACTATTAGACCATCTACGACTCATCTTGGACGCATGCAGCAAGGTCAAAGGCTCACAACATATGTACCTTCCTAAGACAAACTCATCGTTGCATGGCATTTAATGTTACACATACCCAAGCAACTCTTGGGGACTTGTCGTCGTAGGCTTTAGAGGAATTGTTTTGTATCTAATATAATCACTTCACATTTTTCATGTCTCATGCTTGAGGAACAATGAATTAAGATGAATTCATTGTGCCTGAAGAGCAATTTCTTAAAGCCCAAGCAGTCCAAAGAATTTATGAAAGACTAATTAAGAAAATCAGGTAGGCGCGATCTCAAGTTGTCCGACCTAAAACCATGCATATCGCCTAATCATTTTGCCAATACGTGGTAGATGAGGTTTTTTGGAGAAGGCGATTTTAGTCCTCTAAATAAAAGAGGAAATTGCCCCTGCAACTTAGGAGGAAAAATTAGTCTTCCTCCCTATTCTGACATACTTGAAAATAGAAAGAGAAAATTATTTTCCTTATATACGGCCTAAAAAAACTTCTATCCTAACTCAAGAGTTAGAGATCACATTAATTTACACATAAATCTGAATATGAGGCAAGTAGTATATTTCACAAAATATGATTTTATATTGGATATAAGTAAATTGATTTTTTTAATAAATTTTTAAAATATAAAAGATATCTTATGGATTTAACCAAACCAAACCAACTTAATTTTTGTAAATTAATTTTAATTTGGATTAAAAAAACAATAAAACCAAACCAATTGTTTTCTTATTAATTTATTTTTTTCAAAAATCAAACTAAATCTACATGTTACACTTTAGTCTTCACTCCTAACTAGTGGCGTGTTTATTGAATCCAAAATTAAAATTTGTAGCGTGAAGTAACTAGTAAGGAGTGTGGTGGCGTTTGACTAAGCAGTAACCAGCGAGGATGCAAAGCCAACAAGACAACGACGACGGCCCGCCACCCGGATGGCAACCTATCCCTACTCCCCAACGCCCACCGCCACTTCCATCCGGTCAGTTACTATTCGTTCACTTATTCTACCCTCGTTTTTTTTTTCTATTCCCTTCCCTCGGTTTCAATATTCAAAGCTACCCTATTGGATTTTACTAAATCATGCGCTATTATTAATCAGCTACTGCGCAATTCATGAACTACATGATCATTTTTTATTTCTTGTCTTTGTTCTTCTCAACTTTGCCCTCTTTTATGATTGGACAAGTAAATTTTGTGTAAATTTTATGTTTAAGGAATCGGGTTAAATCGCTGCTATAGCGGCCTTGTACACCTATAGTGTAGCGGAAATTTGACAAATCACACTATTGTTTTGAGATAAGCTATGAAATAGTACAAAATGTTGTCAGCTGGCGGTTATAACAATCCGCAAACTTGTTGAGCTGTGTGAACAGGTTTTGCTCAAATGGTTTGTGGTTCTTGTAGACGTCTGCTTTCGTATCCATCCGGTGGCAAACATGTCAAATGTTCATGCTGTCAAATGGTCAACATTGTATTAGAAGGTCAGTGCTTCTTTTTCTTTGAAACTTTGCATTTTAAGTTCAGCTTTTTATGCACCTGGTTGATTAAATACTTTCATAAACAATTTCGTGATGGGAAGAACAGTCTTGTTATTGGTAGGTGTCTTCTTGCTTTTGCAAATACTCTTACTTGACCAATCACATTTAGATTTGATGATGCTATCATGCTCGAAGGTTTCAACTAAATTTTAGCATGCTAAACCTCTCCATGAATACACATACGCTATATACTGTATGAATTTTTTCACTTGTCTAACTATATTTTAGAAGTTCACCATACTTCTAAAAATATATGGCATTGCATTATCCTTTTGTGTGGCAAGCTATTTATATCATAGCTCATTTCTTCCTGCAGCTGATCAGGTTGGGCAAGTTAAGTGTGGGAGTTGCGCGCTATTGCTAATGTATCCATATGGTGCTTCACAAGTCAGGTGTTCATCATGCCGGTTTGTGACAGAAATCGGGGTATGTTAACTGATGTCATTCAATAGTTTTCTTTTGATGTGGTTACTGAATAAATTTTGAAGTCAATATAAACCATGTAACCAAATGCAACTTGATTTATGTACATAGGGTTCTAAGGTTTACCGACATATCATTAAATTGCCATAGAACAACTGCTGTTTCCATTTAATCAATCGTATTCTCGTGATTTTTGTGCAGGCAAATAACAAGCGGCCTCCATGGTCTGTACAACAAAGTAAACCAACTCCTCCCAAAGCTAGCTGTTAGTGGCCCGTCCGTTGTCCTATTAACTGAGCCATTCTTGCAAAACAAATTATGAACAAGAGTTCTCGTGTAATGAGATGTATAGATCTTAAATTTGCTATCTGCACGGAACAATTTATGAATGACAAGTTTTGGAATTAATTTAATGAGTTTTTTTTACAGCCTTCCGTTCCTGCTGCATAATGTGACCCCTTTTCTTTTTGGTCCCTTAAATATTGTCATATATATAATATATACTCGGAAGACCAGAATGTGTGTGTAAAGGGGAAAAGTAAGTGATTATCATGAAATTCAAGGGTAAATTTTTAACTAAAGTAAATGATTATGATGAGATTCAGTGGTGAAATTTGAAGTTATGTTTGTGATTGATCATATTTTCCAACTATTCACCACTACTCTTGATCATAATGGAAAAAGATTTTATTTGGTTTGGTCCAATCATATCATTCACATGGAATGTCATTTGTTATCATGTTAAAGGGTTAGGCTCTATTTTGGATATTTGAATAATATATGACTCACTTTAACACATTTATATATGCTTCTGTTGACAACTGTAAATATGATTATTCTGTAAAAAAATCCTAGGGATATCAGAGTGGCAAAGAAGCCATTTGCATATATCTTTTATGTTGTCAGAGAAGGTTGTAGTTCTGTAGCATATTGATATTATGGACTGTTTGAAAAGATTAAATTGTAATGATCTGAGAAATGAAATGATGGTGTTTTACTATGTGTACGAGAGCTACATGGATTAGAAACATGTGGAGGAATTTCACTAAAACCAGATAAATGGATTTCTAAACATAACCACATGTCATACAGAACTTGTATTGTATGTTTTCAAAAACTGACAATAATAAAGGATTAAAATTTAAGTGGAACTATGCAAAGAGAGTCGCAGGTCTCCAATTTATCTATGGTAACTTATTTTCCAGTGAAATGATTAGAAGCAATGGTAACTGTATCAAAAGATTTGTGGGTTGCATCTTCAGTCATCAGGTGGGAAATCATCATCCGAGGTACTCTCCAAGAATGAACCAAGAGTTTTCCTTAGCATGCTGAAAGTTTTATCATCCTGTGACAATAATCATCAATGAGAAAAACATTGTAACCTGTGTGAGCACATCATACTGCTTAATAGTAACTACTTTATACCTTTTTCTTCTTTTTGAGTGACCCTTCAAGTTGGGTAATTTTATCATTACAGGATTTCTCTTGTTCTGATATCATAGCTTTTTCCTTCTTCCCTGAAATAATCATAAAGTTGTAAAGAAAATGTTACACAGAATTAAAATCATGGAAAGCAAATTGTTGTTGTTGTTGTCTATTTATTCATAAATAAACAAGGATACAAATGTATAGCTTACTCAGTTGCTCATATCTCAAGAATAGCTTTTCCTTTTCTTCTTCAAATTTGGAAATAATATCTGTAGATGGAAAAAAGAAATCAGCATCTAACCAGGAAAGAATGTGATTATATCAAATAAACAAACATGAATTGCAATTACATATTCAAATTTAACAGCTAATTTCATAGTAACTACTACTACTACTACATATTTCAGCTGCTGTCAAAATATCACACTACTATTAATTCCAATTTCAGTCTTTTAAAGGCTCAACTCTAACAACATATTATACAAATTAATCCTCAGATGATAATATTACAGAAAGTACCTTGAAAGGCCTGAAGAGAAGAGGCTTTCTCTTTGTAAAAATTCTCATGAAGTGCTTGAAACTTAGTAGTTTCGTTCTTCAAAGAACTTTCAAACTGCATGTTAGTAATCAAAAATCAAGAATTAAACAAGTTTTTGGCAACACATAAATTCCTTTCCTACTAATGACAGTCGTCGGCATCAATCATAAACTAATTTTTCTATTTTACAAACCTCTTTGGAACTCTTTGAAAGCGCCTTAGCAAATGTTTGCCTAACATAAAAACAATAACAAACTCTTTCAGCACAGTGAAACAGAAACAGAAAGAAAAAAAAAAGCGCTGAAACGCTACCACATTATTTAATACTGATTTCAAATATCAAAGTACCTTTCCTTCTCAAATTTGGTCCTCAATCCCTCAATAGTAGACTTAATCTCAGAGGCAACACTATCAGAAACAAAAATCACCAATCACAAACCATTTTGCAAATATCTTAGATCAGAATTTCATTTTTTACTAATTTCAAAAATTTTCAAAATAATTTCAAAAATGGAAACGGAAACAAACAAAATGCATCCGTTAAACATCTAGATCAGCAAACGCATCTCACACATACGAATCATTCAAAGTATAACCTTCAAACTTCAACTATGGTGAAAACTGAAAAAGAACGTATCAGGTGAGATCTAAATGCAAACGCGTTACCTAGAAATAGTCTCTTCGTTCTTCTTCTGGCCGTCCTTCTGCGCCTTATCTCTTATCAGGTTCAAGGCCGACACGATTCCTTTAAGATCACTGCAAATTAACATTATATCAGAAAATTGATTACGATTCAAACCAAAAACCAAAACAAAAAATCAAAGGCAGTGAAGACGAACTCAGAGATATCAAAATCCAAATCGAGATCGAAATTTTGTTTATCTGATCGGCTCTTCTTGTCAGTTTTGGTGCGATCGAGTTCGGATTCCCGTTTCCTTGACGCTGCTTTCGTAGCAGACATTGCGAGTAGTTCAAAATTCTGTGAAGAGACGATTTGTTTTCAGAGTCGTTGTGATTTTATCATATCTAATATGCATCAACTTTTGGCGCCAAGTTTAAGAAATTTGGTAAATTTTTAATTTTTTTTTTTTTTTTAATTTTATTTCTTGATAAATTTTTAAATTTTCTTGATAAATTATTTTAGTGCAATGTGGAAGAACTTAATTATTTCAATTATTAATTAAAATAAAATATGTTATAATTGATTTTTATTTTATAGATGTGGAAGAACTTAATTATTTCAATTATTAATTAAAATAAAATATATTATAATTGATTTTTATTTTAATCATCTATAAAATAATACATACAAATTGTAATACGTTGACAATATAAAATTTTATAACTTGAGACTATACTAATTAATCTTTATTATAATTATAATTATTAATTCTTCATGATTAATCATGTGTATAAATCAAATATGACATAATATTGTTATTAACAATAAAAATGAAATTCATAATCACATTCTTATAAATATTGTAGCAAGAGATGATGCATTATGTATAAGGCAATAAGCATTTTTGGTGTAGCTTTTTTATTTTCAATTTTGTCCCTAATAAATTGATTGTATTACATTCTTTTATTAGTTAGTTATTATTATTCATCTTTCATAACTTCTATGCGGTTTCTAAACCAATCCATATTCTCTCTCCATTTTATATTCTTCCCATTAGATATATTGAGAGAGAGAGAGAAAATGTTGGAGAAGCAAATTAATTGAGAGAGAAAAAATATGTTGGAGAAACAAATTAAAGATATGGAAGAAAGAAAACAAAGATGAAAATGAAAGAGAAAGATAATAATGGTAATCTTTTCTGTAGTATTTCTCTAAATTAACTTTAATTCTTCTGTTATGTTATTTTGGCAACTCTTATTAAGTTTTTGTTTTTAATTAGTGTGAAGACAGTGAAGTAGAAAAAAGTTGTTGTTAACATAAAAATAGAGATTTTTTTTATGGAGAAGAGGTTATTTTTCCAATTTTCATACTATCTTTTTTTTAATTGTAATATTCTCACTAACTTTTAAAGTTTAACTATTTTGATCGATTCCTTTACCTATTTTTAATTTTATTTATTTCATTCTATTGTTTGATTAATAGATGAATATTATTGAAAATTATTTAGTATCATCAGTAATACATAAGAAAGAAAGAAGACAAATTTCTGTGTTCTTATTATTTTTAATGTGTAATTAAGTCTTAATGATAAATTCATATTTTTGGTGTAGTTTCTTTGAGTATCAACAACATAATGCCGTTTTTTTTATTCACGTATCATTCCTTTTGTTTTAACTATTCTACCATTTCCTTTCTTTATCACATACTACCTGCATTTTTATCTTCAATATTTTCATTTTTTCAATTTTTCTTCTTCAAAATTTAAAGATTCTTAAATATTTGAGAATACCTAATAACTTTAATTTTCTTACACATACTTTCTACATCACTATTTTTATATATTTAATAATGATTCTTAAATTTGTTTTTAGTTTTTAATGGATAAATCAAGCAAGATAGAAGAATGTGCAAGACAATGGAAAGAACACATGGGCATAATCTTTCAAAATGTAACATATATAAATCATTCACTTATAATTATTTCTATAGGTTTGATTAGTTATTAAAAGTTATTCATTTTAATTATATTACTTTGTAGTTTTTTGTATTTTTGAACCAACTCTATGTAAAATTATTATTAAAGTTGTTAATTATTATATAAATTCTATTTAGTATATCACAATTCTAATAAATTTATTAATATCTGCGAGCACTCCACCGAAGTAGATACGTAATAATGAAAAATGTCTTATGTATTTGGTTTTGTAATGTTGATTGATTATCTCTCTTCTTTTCTCTCTTAAATTCTTCGTTTAAAACTAAAGAAAAAACTCATCTCTCTCATTTTTATTTTTATTTTTTTTAATATTTATGTTATGTTTTTAAAGAAAATTTAAGAAACTATTAATTTCAAAAGAGGCCGAATGCTACATGTATGCGGCAAAATTTGAAAGGATTTCAAATGATCTTTTTTACACAAATATATATTTTTCATGCAACTATTGAAATGAGTGTACAAAAGATACTTCTATGGAATTGTACATATATTCTAATTTATTCACATTTCTTAAATTTTGTTTATTATATATTTTTCTCTTTATACGGTGTCTATTTTACTTAGTTTTTGAAGAATAATTTATATGTTTTTTTTGTCTAACAAGAACATGAAACTTTTAATCTCTCAATTTTGTTTATTTCACTTTATGTGAGATTAATTTATTTGTGGGTTTTATTTGTATTTATCTCCCTAATTTTTATTTATGATTTTTTTTTATTCTCTTAAAAAAAATTTCTTTTTATAATATTTATTATGGTTTCTCTAAACTCTACTTAATATATTATATAACTATTATTTATTCTATAACTATTACATATTCTATAACTATAGATAAAAATAAAGAAGATAGATAATTTTGGACATATCTATTTTATTCCCATTTTATCCTTTAAGTTGTACGCAATTTATTTAATTTTTAAAAATAAAGTGCTAACAAAATGATACGGTTTTTTTATAAGATGAGCATAACTATCAAAATTGGTTTTTTTAATAGAAAAAAAAATCAATTTTGATAGTTATGCATCTCTTACAAAAATGATGGAAGTGCAAAACACACTTATAAATGAATAGAAAATGGAAATTCATTCATTCAGTGGCAACATAAAAAAAAATACATCATCATACTCCACTATTTATGGTTTGTGAAAGATAAATAGAGAAAAAAAAAATTCTTCATCTTCATCTCTTATTTGATCACCAGTCTCTGATTCCTTCTCTAATTCTTTATCATACTTCATTGTTAATTGATACGAAGTTTCTTTTTCTTTACAATGTTATGATTATTTCTTTAAGAAATAATTTGCCTTTATTTTAGAATCTATTTTGTTGATTTTGCATTTGGTTGTTGCAACTAAATATCAAATTATATTGATTTGGTTAGAGAATATTATTAAAAACAATGAAACATTATTTTTAAGTGTCTTTCTTTTTAAACCCATTGGTCTTAAAGATAAGAAATATATGAATTGTTTATTTATGAATTGGTTCATATGTATTTAATACAATACTAATAATATAATAGAAAACGAACAATAAATATTAAAGATTACACACACCTCCAATAAATGAAAGAGTTTTGTTGCAACAATCTTTGGAAGCATTTCATTACCCATATACTTAATAAAAAATTAATTAATAAACACACACACACACATATATATATATTTATATATTTATATATATATATATATATATATATATATATATATATATATATATATATATATATATATATATATATATATATATATATATATATATATATATATATATAATATATTAATGAATTACTTCATTTGTTTTGTAGTGAAACGAGAGATATTTCTGATTTTGATTCCATGGTTGACCTTCCTATTAAGCAATAATGTAACTTAATATCCGTATTAATGTTTATGTTTCGTTGCTTAATAAATTGTGAGAAAGATTTTTGTTCTTCTTCTATCTAAATCTTTTTATGGTTTTAACTAATATATAGCAATATATAAATATAAAACTTAATGTTTCATCATATAAATAATTTATATTAAAATCAATATAAATAGTTTATAGTAAAATTAAATTTATAGAAAAATACACTGTTGGGCACGGACGTGCCCGTTTGAACGCTAGTATCATTAAAAGCGAATTCGAAATTAAAAGAAAACTATTATCGACGTGGCTGACAACTGAATTTTTTTTTTTAATATAATGTGCGCTGAATTTTTATATATTTTTTCCCGTCAAATATTAAAACTTAAAAACTTAACCTTAACAAACGTTGAACCTAAGATATGATCCTTCTAAAGAACTACTTGCATGTTTAATTACCTCTCTCTCTCTCTCTCTCTCTCTCTCTCTCTCTCTCTATATATATATATATATATATATATATATATATATATATATATATATATATATATATATATATATATATATATATATATATATATACTATTATATAATTATTTCATACCATTACATAATTATATTAAAATATTCATTTGAAAAATACTATTTACATAATTATTTGAAAAACACTATTAAACTAATAAATATTAAAATATATTTATTATATTTATTTATTTCAGCTTATTTATTATTATTTAATTTTAATTCATTATTTTATTTTATTTTATTTATTTCAGTTTAATATTTACTATATTTATATTTAATATTTCAGTTTATTTTTTAAATAATAAATGTTAAAATATATTTAATTTCAGTATTACTTGAGTACTATTTACTTTCCTCTCAAACATATTTAATTTCAGTTTATTATTTACTTTTGTTATTAAAAAATATTTTTATTTTCAGTTTATTATTATAAATATTAAACATATTTACTTTCAATTTATTATGTAAACCATTTGTACATAATTAACGTTTTTCTGAATAATTGTTATTTGACTAAATATTAAATGTATTTCAATATTAAATACATTATCAAACTAAATTTAATATTTAGTAACATTTATCAAATTTGTAGTATTAAAATTATCAAATAATTATTTTGTAACGTTTATCAAAGTAAACTGAAATTAAACAATTTAATATTTATATCAAATAATCGTATATTAAAATGAAATTAAACAATTCAAGTAAATAAATTTGATAATTGTTTAATAATTGTATATTAAACTGAAATTAAATAACATTATATTTATCAAATATAATTTCAGTCATATATTTAATTTCAATTTAATAACATTTAATAATTGTTTAAATTAATGTTAGGTTTAATTACACTTTTAGTCCCTTTATTTTTTTTTTACTCATGAAATTGGTCATTTACTTTAAATTTAAATATTTTTAGTCTCTCTATTTTAAATTTAAACAGTTTTGGTCTCCCTCTCATTTTTAAATT